GTGGCCCACAGCCTCTGCCTGCCTGGCCCTGTAGCATGGAGAGGGGGGGCGGAGCACAGCCCCCGCCTCTCCTCCCCAGAATGCCTACGGGGGTCAGAGTGTGGGTGGGGCCAAGCAGGCAGTTTTGCCTGGCATGCTCGCTACTCACACACAGAAGGCTGCTGTCTGAGCATGGAAGGAGCAGTGTGGCATCTCCCATAGGGAACCCCCTTTCCTTACGCCTGCCAGCCAGAGTCTCTTCTGTGCCCACGAGGTCTTGCTCTTCAGTGTGCTGCTGCCATTTCCTTTCCAGTACGTGATCCCCTGTGATAAAGTGCCGTCCCTGCCCGTCGTCTCTCTCGTGCTCGGCGGGAAGCCCTACGCGCTCACCGGAGAACAGTACGTCTTCAAGGTGAGTCTGCAACCCAGCTTCCTCTCCTGTGCTGGCTGGTCTCTCCTCGGTATAGGAGGCAGGGCCATGGTGGTGAAATCCTGGTCCCTCTGAAGCCAGGAGCAGGCTGGCTGACTGCAGTAGAGCAGGGGTTTCACCTCCATGCCCGTGTGAGCCCTGCCTCCATAGTGCCTGGTCACTGCTGCAAGGTTAGCTGCTTGCCAAGCCTGGCTCTGAGTCCTCCTCAGAGCCGCTTCTCTTCAAGACTCCAAAGCGTGAGCCCTGCAGCAGGTTCAGCCCAGAGCTTGTTGCAGGGTCCGACTCGCCCCTCTCCCCCTCTGGGCTACATCAGCAGTTACCCTACAGAGAGTTTGACATTACCCACACTGGTTTGAATTGGTTCCACGTGCTGCGGTTCCTGAGGGGACGCTTGCTTGCCCGTCTCGAGGAGAAGCAGGAGTCTGAAGAATTGGGGTGCGAGTTTCAGCTGCTGGGTCTATAGGGAGCAATGCAGACCTCCGCTGGCTTGCTCCAGTAGCAGGAGATGGCTGAGTAAATCCACATGCTCCTGCAGTGGAGGACACTAGGGAGGCAGCGGGGATGAGGTAGAAATGGACAGGACATTATGAGACTCTTTAAACACCTCATCTGCTATTGGAGTCCATCTACCACTAGGTTTGGAGAGCTCAAGGCTAGTGCTTGACATGATAAATATTGGTGGCTAGAAGACTTACCCAATGTTGCTCAGGTCCTTATCTTAAACATTTTCTTGATTTGAATACTTCCTCTGGGGTAGGGCTGGGGATGAGGGGTTCAGGATGCAGGCTGCCCTGGGGAGAGAGGCCTACCCCAGCTCTCTCTCTGCAGCAGCTTGGGGCCAGGTGAGAAGCACCTCTCCATAGCTGCTGTAGCTCCAACAGGCAGAGCCTGGGAGAGGGGTGCATGTTCCTCGACTGACGTAGGTCCAGGTTCATCTGCTCCCTGTGCTCCTGAGGCAGAATGAGGAATGCAGCAAATTCTGCACTTCCCCTTGCTCCCTGACAAAGGGGACCAACCAGTGATGTTCCTGTATGGGACTGTCCCACCCGCCCTCCCTAAAGGGTACGTGGCGGGGTAGGAGGTTGGGGCAGTCCCAGACGAGAGGGGGGTACACCCCTGGGCAGCCCCTTTCATCTGCTTGGTGATTCGGTCTCTGTTCTGTATGGGTTATATGAGAAGTAATCCCATTCCAGGTACATCCCACTTTTCCTGGCACAAACAGATGCTGAGACTTCTTTTAAATTCTGATTAGGGATGTGAGCAGCTGAGTTTACTGCTCACTTCCCATGCACCCCTTGCTGCCTCTGTATCAGAAGCAGCAGGGGTGGGGAAGCAGGAGTTGGTACTTAAAAAGCTGGTTCCCTCTCCCCAGCACTCTCTAAGGTGCAACCTGCCTTCCCACCGGGGGTGGGGAAAGGGGCCCTCGCCGCTGGTCCAGCAGCAGCCCCCGTCCACCGGAGGAAGAGGGAGGTCCCAGCGGTCTGGCCACGGGCTACTGGACCTGGCTCTTACTACATTTAAACTGCAGAGCCACAGCAGGGGTAGGTCCTGGTCCCGATGCGAGCCAGGATTGAGGAAGCCTACCAATCATGTAGTCGATAAAAATGTTGTTGGCTCTGCAATTAGCGGATTGCCTGCCTCTTACCATCCTTGGTTTTGATGAGAGGAAGCTTGGTGGTCCAAGCTCTTACCGTTTTTAGAAGTGTTCTTGAACAGGCAGACATGCAGACAAACTCTCTCAAATATATAGTTAGATTAATCACTGTTAATACCTCACGCCATGTAGAGTCAGTTCCACCAATCGGTGCCCTATGTGAGAGCATGTGGGAGGCTGGGGGAAGGGATGAGAGACTTGTCCTTCTACTGACCTTCTCTCTCTTTCCTGTAGATTACTGTCCAGGGACAGACCATCTGCATGAGTGGCTTTTCAGCCCTGGACATCCCACCTCCTGGGGGCCCGCTGTGGATCCTGGGAGATGTGTTCATTGGCCCCTACTACACTGTGTTTGACCGTGATAATGACTCTGTTGGCTTTGCCAAGTGTGTCTGAGTGCCTTCCCCATTGCACCTGCCACACACACACACACACACACACACATACATACACTATAGAGAGTGAGTACCAGGGTTAGAAAGCATATGAAATGAATTAAATTTGAAATATTTAAAAGGAAAAAAATAATTTGCCCTCGTAATAACCCTTCTTTGAGTAAGTGATAATCAGAGAGCTCTAGCTGATCACTCAATCTAGAGTAGCCCCTGCCTTGTTAGATCTTCCAGTTCTATTTTATAGATGAGCTATTGAAGCTGCACAATGCCCACTCATGTCTCCAAGCGCCAGCCTCACAAATGGGGGAGCCAGCTTATGAGATCCATGTGGTGACACCACTCCTCCTGCAGAGAACCCACATTGGGAACGGATGCTCTGTTGTATTGGGTGGGTGAGAGGAGGATTATATGTAGATGCAGAAAACTTTCCCCTTCCTCTTCTCTAACCAGTGACAGGGAAAGGGAGCTGAGTTTTTCTTATGGCTGATGGGAGTCCCGTGAAGAACAGCAGCAATCGCTTAGTGGCTCTTCATAAGCTTGTGCTGCTTTAATGTGTTTCCTTGTGAAACCGATTGATTTTTTTTTTTTCTTTTTCGCTTGTGGAGCTGAGGAGGGTGCCAGGGAGATGACTGCATGAGCCAGCCCTTAAAATGCACAAGGGGAAGGTTTAGAATCCAAACACCATGAGCTGTGTTTCCTGTGGCGTGGCAGCACAGAGGAAATGTGGCATGGTGTCATCCCTGCCCGGTAAGACACTTCGGCAGGGGTGGTTACAATAGGGGCTCCAGCCAGTAGAATCCTCAGGGAGCAGAAATTGGAAGGGGACCATGGGAGGGTTTGATAGTGGTGTTTGAGTTCATATCTGCAACGGCCCGTCTTTATGCGTAGGGCTGAGCAAATCAGTTCAGATGAAAGAAGACCCAAACTTTTCTTGAGGTTTGAAATAGTTTGGTTGGATGGGGGTCTTTTCTTCCTTAATTTTTCCCAAACCTCAGGCCTCGCTGACTCTGTCCAGAGCTGTTATCTGGCAGGTAACATTTGTGAAAGCATTAAAGCGCTTGTGAAAGCATTTAAAGTTACCTAGAAGCCTTAGGTCCTGTAGACAGTCAATGGGGATTAGGTGCTTTTAAGTCACTTAAATGCTTTTGAAAATTGTCCTGGTGGTATTTTTGATCTGATCAAACGAGACTGTTCACTCTCCTGAGAGATGCTTACAAGACTTCCAGAGCAGAGGTTTGGGGAAGCATCCAGATGTTTCTCTTTACCAAAACTCTAAACATTTGGAAGCCAGCTCAGCTGTACTCTACACTCCCTATTCAGAACTGCAGCTTGCTTTTCCTTTAAAAAGCCATGTAGCAGCCATTGTAAACGTACACTGGGCAACAGAGAGAGAGGCACGTTGCCCTGTCTGGAGAGCTTATGAAGGTCATGCGCACAGACCCACACTCTCCCAGGAGTCAGGAATTGTGGATGCAAAGCTGTTCTCCCAGCTGGGCCCTTAGACAAAACAAATGAAGGGTAGTGGTTGGGGAAGGGACGGCCAGTGGGGATTGGTGGACAGAAGGAAGTTAAAATTGGGTTTTGAGGAAGCAGGGGGGGAAGTGAGCTTAGCAGGGTTATTCAAGGCTTTGATCCAAACCCCACTGGGGTGAGCAGAGAGACTCCTATTGGCTTTAGTGGGCTTTGGCTTGGCCCCTAAGTGTCTAATCCAGCATGAGCCATGGTACAAAGTGGAGAGTAGAAAAGGGGTTAGAGATCCAGAACCTCCCCTCTTGTGAACCAGTGCAACACTAAGGGTAGCAGTAACGTGAGGGGAAGGGGAGAAACGTACAGTAACATGAAATCCTGTCCTCATTGAATCAATGGGCATTTTGACACTGACTTTAAGGGAGCCAGGCTTCCCCCTGGGGAGCAGCTGTCAGTGAGTGCAGTCCTATGCCTGGGGGCATAATGGAGGCTAATCACACTAGGAGACATGCGCTCTTTTCCCCCAGGTCCTAGCCAACCTTGAGCCTGCTGTCTGGGGAGAGAAAGGGGCTGCCAGTTCAGCAAGGGCCGTTCAGGGGAAAGATCTAAACTGAGTCACGTCACATCAGCCTGCTGAGCGTCGCCCTTTTCAAGTCCATTGCACCTGTTAGGAATTGGCAGTGTTTGGCTCAGACTTTAATAACTGCCTCTGCTGCTCAGACTGGGCCGGGTGTTGTTTGTGTGTACTTAATGCTTGCAATCATTACTCTTCCTCAGACACCTGGAAGGGGCTGCCTGAGGCAGCTGTGACTGGTGTGAATGTAGTAGCTCTAATATATGTCTCTGGCTGCACAGCCCCAGGAGTGATGAATATGCTCTTCCTCCTATTGCCTGCTGTTTGTTTACACTCTTCAGCTGCAGCCTCAGATTAGAACCTGAAGGCATCTGCTACAGCCTAACTAGGAAACAATAGCATGTTCCTAAAAACCATCAAACACAAAGACTCAGCTGTCCTCCAGAGAGTCCTGTTTGCAAATTGATCAAGTGCCCAGAGCTCTTTAAAGTGTTGCTAAATCCTATCTCAGCTGAAGAATTTATCTCATAGGTTGACTTAAAGAACTTTTCTCAGATGCCTGTTAATTAGATTGGGTGGAAGATGGTAACTCTCTAGCAGGGAATTGACCAAGGTCAAATTGGATTAAGGATCGATTTGTTAACCCCTTCAAATCAGGCACAGTGCATTATAAGAAGGCACCATTGTACAGACATTGCTGTTGAACATATAATGCCTTATATTGTACATGCTGTAGAATGTCAACTGTATGTTAACACTGAGCTAATTTCTGTATCAGACATGCAGGATGTTTACACCTGCGGGAAGAGTTTGATCCATGGTGATGCCCTAAATTAAAAGATGCACCTTAAGGCAGGCTGGGGACGCAGTTTATTTAATGCAACACATTTGCAGTGCAAAGATCATGGAGCTTCTGAAATCAGTCTCTTCCCTTTTCTTTTATTTGTGTTTTTCAAAGAGAGCTTGAACTGCTGCTTGACTGTTTTTCTTTTTTGAGCAATCTCATTTGCTGTCAAAACTCTTGTCTCGTTTATTATAGAAAATTGAAATGAAAATGTATTTTTCCCCCCTTTACCGTGTGCCTGTTTTCTTTTTAGTGGTTTGGAATTGCCAAGCTACTGAGCAAACTGGCTTCTAAGAGGCTGGGGGACAGTACCTAGAAGAGTAGAGGACCCTGTGAACTTAGAGTGCTGATGGGCCTGGTCCAAAGCCCCCTTCTCTCCCCCAGGCCAGTAGTAGCGCTGAGAATAAAACACCCATCATCTACTTCTTGAGCCTCTTGGCCACAAGACAGTGAAAAGGAGAGCAATACCCAGCCACGCCCACTGTGTGGTTCTCCGAAAGGCGCCCAAAAATATTACATGGACTCTACACAATGAAGGAGCCACCTACCATAAGACCACTGCATCGTGATCCATTGTAACAGCGTTAGGACTTCTTCGTGCTGGAGATATGACATAAAGCAGACCTCTTCCACCTGCCTAGGACCAAAGATCAGAGCCTGAGTTTATAATCCTGGTTTCTGTCAATGAGCTACTGTGGGCCGACAGACAAGTCACGCACCAATGTCTTTGTGCCTCACTTAAAGGATGAATAAAATAGGGATCACACTAAAGGTTTTAGAGTTAGGAAGTGCACTATTAATTTTTTCAAATTTATAAAAAGAAATCCATCCTATGTGCTGATTCTCTTCCCCATATTATTACTTTTTGTATTAGGGTGGTATGTAGAAACCCCAAACAATAAGACTCAGTCTCTGCTCTGAAGCGTTTATTAACTAAACAGTCATGACAAAGGAAAGCAATAGCCCCATTTTACAGATGAGGAATTGAGATACAAAGAGATTAAGGGTACATCTATGCTGCAACTTTATTTTGAAAAAAAGATCTTCCAGAATAGTTTATTTTGAAGTAGTGCCCACACTACAGGGAAGCCTCAAATTTACTCTGAGGCAGGCTCCCCTAATGTGGATGTGCTACCTCTATTTAGAGCCCCAGAAGGCACGGGGGAGGAATAACTTTAGAATGGCCCTGGTGAGGGGTTATTTCGACATAGCAGCAGTAGAGCGTCCACACAAGATTTTTTGGAAGAGGTGTTATTCCTCGAGGGATGAGGTTTACCAATGTTGGAAAAAGCACTCAGTTATTTCGATTTTCTTTTGAAATGATGCAGTTGCTGTATGGATGCTAGTATTGTTTTTCCAGAATAACAGCCGTTATAACAGTGCAGTGTAGACACACCCTAAGTGACTTGGCGACGGTCACCCAGGAAGGCTGTATGCCTTAATCCCAAAATGAACTTTTTCCTTTAACATTTATGGGCTGAATAGAGTCCCCATAAATACCTGCTGAATACCCAATACTCAGCCCGGGAAACAAGATGTCAGATTGTTTATTACTATCAGTATGAGGACAGGGTATCTCCCTCAAAGAACTTTTAAAGGCCCAATCCTGCAAAGAGCTTCTCAGATGAATCACTACAGAACTCATTGCAAAAGTGGGGCCAATCCAGTTACATTTTGGAAGAAAGATAGAAGCAAGTGACAGAGAAGTGATGTTAACATGCCTTATTGCATCTGTGGTTTTAGTTTGATCTTTCTTCTGCTGGTCACCTTTATTTAACATTGAAGGAGAGCTAGGATTGGTAGGCCTTGCTGAAGAAAATAACTCACCTAAAGGGGGACTGTCTTGCAAGTACCTGAGAAACAGACCCATCATTTAGGCTTAAAAAAAAAACCCTTAAACAAAATCGAATGGTTTCCTGATTTACTTTTGATTTACTTGATTGCTTGTTAGGTTTCAGACATTCCCTGCGGTGTTTGCAACCCAAATTTTGCTGCATTGGGCTAGTGCATGACCAACTACATTACAAAACTGGCTATAAGCCAGGTTAGAACTGACTAAAGCCCTGGTCCTTTGGACATTAGTACTGGCACTGCAGCCTGCTCGTGTGGATCCAGTTGCAGTGCAGAATCTGGGCTAATATTCATTTCAGAGCCTAAGTGGAGAGAAATGCAAAAATATAAACACACCGTGAAGGAAATGGAGAATTAGGTTTATTATATTTTAGGGGAGTTCATTTGTTTGGCTTGGTTTTAATAATTATTTCTGGTGTAATTAGCGACAAAGGGAGTGATGTGTGACTTTTGAAATGGGATTGTCAAGATGGCAGAGCCCTTCGATACAAAAGGGATTGTAAATGCTTTGAGGCAGAGACTGCCTGTACAGCACCTAGCCCGAGGCGGTCCTGGTCCTAGACAAATAACAGTAATTGATTTTTAATAAGATGAGCCAGTAAAAGACAACCTGGCCGA